CAGTTGGCGTTACTAAAAATACTTCCCCCGAGAGAGTAATCGTCTCAGTAGCTTTAGTCGTCACTCCAACACGATGTCCCACGGCAAATGTTGAGAACTGTGTTGAGAAGACAGGAGCCGGACAAGGGGCGCAATGGGAAGGCAAACACGGAGTGCAGTGCAGTGGGACAGTGAACACTGAGGGCGGTCAGGAGGACGACGAAGCAAATGACCAGTCAGTTGATGATGATGGCATGCGTCACTTATCCTCTCGCAGCAGCAGAAGTGTCTCCAAACTGTTTATCGAGCTAACCACCACCACCACCACCTCCAGATATGGTCTGGTGTGGATCAAGGGGACGACATGTGATGGCACTAGATATGCTCAGATAGCTGCTAGTGCTGCAGTCAGCAGGCAACGATGTCACCGATGAGTGACCCCTTCCAGGGCGCATTGCAGTCCTCGCTGTCGCTCCCAACAGGCTTTTGCTGCTGTCGATCTATTCCTCCATCTCCTTTCTGTGCACTTTGCAAACAGTCACCAAAGACACAGGTGCAGTTGGCCTGCTGCTGTCGCACTCCATTGAAGGAGCACTGGCAGTGGCAATGGCAGCAGATCTTCACTCCTCCGACCCATCAACTGTTGAATCGAGGTCAGATGACACTGTATCCCCTACTACTACTACTACCACCACCATTACCAGCATTACTACCTGCTAGCGCCAATCAATGGTATCAATTAAGTAGAAGTAACAGTGCCCATAAAGTGCAAGCGTTCCGCACCCACCTCTCCGCAAAGTAGTCTTTCGTCTGGCTAATTTGCCTAATAACCGTTGGCCAATTTTTGAAAGGGGTTTCGAGCAGTCTCCAGTCTGGGCGACCTCTCACTAGTACACAGAGCACCGTGTTCTATGGCCGTACAATTGCATGTAATTACAATTGGTATGATCGAACAAGCAGGCCACATGCAAATANACACTGTATCCCCTACTACTACTACTACCACCACCATTACCAGCATTACTACCTGCTAGCGCCAATCAATGGTATCAATTAAGTAGAAGTAACAGTGCCCATAAAGTGCAAGCGTTCCGCACCCACCTCTCCGCAAAGTAGTCTTTCGTCTGGCTAATTTGCCTAATAACCGTTGGCCAATTTTTGAAAGGGGTTTCGAGCAGTCTCCAGTCTGGGCGACCTCTCACTAGTACACAGAGCACCGTGTTCTATGGCCGTACAATTGCATGTAATTACAATTGGTATGATCGAACAAGCAGGCCACATGCAAATAGCCGTCTAATTGCATGTAAGGCGGCAGCAGTGGACAGCAGTTGCTCATTAGCAGTCCGCATCCAAGTGGTGGCACACTGCAGCACTGCAAACAATGGCCGCCTTCATTAGTGTCCTCTTTGAGTTCTACATCAAACTGGATTGTCTTAACAGACTTCAGTGATATCTACAGAACATCATTCACAGTTATAAATAGATGTGTGTGTGTCTTTGTCTGTCTGTTTCTGTGTGTGTGTGTTTGTAGTGGAGCTGAGGGAAGAGTGAGGCGCCAAATGATCACACACTTACATGTGAAGTACAACACTGACCAGTGCGGCATCGGTGGCTGCCGCCAAAGAGTATGCCNTTTGAGTTCTACATCAAACTGGATTGTCTTAACAGACTTCAGTGATATCTACAGAACATCATTCACAGTTATAAATAGATGTGTGTGTGTCTTTGTCTGTCTGTTTCTGTGTGTGTGTGTGTTTGTAGGGGAGCTGAGGGAAGAGTGAGGCGCCAAATGATCACACACTTACATGTGAAGTACAACACTGACCAGTGCGGCATCGGTGGCTGCCGCCAAAGAGTATGCCATCAATCGATCGGTTATTGCCTCCACTGTGATCGACAGTCGCAAAGGAAAAGTCTGCTGAACTGTTTTGGTGCCTCACGACCATTCTCTTTCCGTCCCTCACTCACCTGCATTCTACAAGTTTATTAGCCACTATCCAGCTAACGATCTTCATGCAACCGTGTAATCATTATTATCACTATATTATTATTTTTATTAATGATAACACACGAATGCACGAACACTGATGAAGAGAGCTGTGCTCTTTATTACTTGCACGGCTGAATTGAATGAGCGATACAGGCAGTCGAGTTAGTTGGATGAGAACAAAACAGTGGTTTCGGGTAGTTAAAATTCAAAATTGGCGTCACTGACAACTTTCGGAGGCCGAAGATATGGATTGTCTACTGCATCTGCTTCATTTGAAGTTGCGAGATTGTCTTCATTATCTTTGTTTATTTCTACTTCATTAGGGGCACCACCTTCCCCTTCGCCTACCAGTTTGTTTTTTAAACCAACTAAATCTTTGGAACTTTCTGCGTTGTTGTCTTCCCAGTTTTGATCTTTTGGCAAGAGAGCAGACAGGTACGGTGCCGGATCCGTTTTGATGCCAATCAATGGAAACAGATGTGAAAGGTTAGGATCGGAAAATAGAGAATAGCTGTAGGTTGATTTAAAAGTGCGTGCCATAAAACGCGTCAGACCACGTTCGACATCTCGCCTCTGTGTTGATGATTTTTCTCGCAACGTTTCGTAATCAGTTATTGGTTGCTTAAATGTAGGAGTGGATATGTATGAGTGTGAGTCAGGAAAGGGCGGAAAAGAGTCGGGTATGTTGCTCTGGAGTTTCCGCTTTTTGCCCGTTTGAAGTATCTTTGGAATGACTTGCTTTGTTTGTTGTGACGGCGGTGGCACAATGACTCGGTTCTGGCGAAAAGCATAGTTAGGTATAGTTTTCACGTCGATGCCCATATCAATTAACGCCATGAGGACATCTCCCGGAAGTGGTTCAGTTCGACCAGCATGTTCGCAGAACTGTTTTGATAGAAGGCTCAGTTCATTGAGGAATGCTTGAAACATCATGAGCAGCGCTTCAAGAGCATTGTTATCGGCGGATTGAAAGCCACTTTCCAGACACGTCGTCGCCACTAAGGAGTACAGCACTCGGCGATGGGCTGCCATTGAGCTAAGTCCTGAACTAGATGCAGAAGTGTTCATCGTGCCTTCGTTCATGTCGTACTGAAGAAGGGGATACTGATCAATACTTTGACGAAATGTTGATCAATCACAAATTGTTTT